ACGAAGAAACCCCCAAGCATGCTTGGGCCCATTTGTCCCAAAGGGAATGGGGGGGGGAACTCCCTCCCTCCATCCCCACGCATCTGCCAGGGTTTGGGGGGGTCCTCTGTTCCCCCTCCTTCCCAAAAGTCCTCCCTCCTCCACCCCTGTTTCGCCTGAGGGGAAAAAAAAAAACCACCCAAATTTCACTAAAAAAATTCCTGAGCAAATGTCCTCTTCTCCCTCCTCCTTTTTTTCCCTTGCCCTTTTGCCCCCACAGGGGTCTTTGTGGCTTTTGAGATCGGGTGCCCCCAACGTTCCTCCCGCCCCCTGACCACCCCATTGTTAAAGCATTTTTTCAGGGCCCGGGGCAACAGAGGAATGAGTCGTTACCCCTTATCCTGCCGACCACAAATTTGCTTTTTGGGCCCCCTAAAAGGGGCCTGAGCAAGCGGCAGGTTTTCAGAATGGGGGCCCCAATGGCTGACATCAAAAGTTACACAGGGGAGTACCTTTATCCGCTTGTAACTCGGGAAAACCGGTGATGGCCTTTCCCCTGTTCGTAAAGGGGGTCAAACATGTGTTGGGTTAAATTTCCCCACCTTTTTTGCAACTCGCAGCCCGGCGATGTGTGGAATTCCTTCTGCCGCTGCAGTAAAAGGGGGGTGTGCTTTGCGGTGGGGGAAATGGCTGAAAAAATGCAGGGAAAAAGTTTACGTGACTTTTTTAAGGGATGTCTTGCAGTGGGTTGGTGGATTTTGGGAAACCCCTTTTGGAAAACCCAGTTTTGGAACAGGGGGGAGCCATGCATGGCGCAGGGCCCAAAAACCTTTTCCGGGACCCCAGGGGCAGACACCATGTTTTTCCCCCGTTGTGGGGTAAACCCATGGTTCCCGTTTTTTAAATTTGCGGGGAGACAGCCATCTGTCGATTTCTTTTGTTCTTTTACATTTCCAGAAGTTCCCCCCCCCCGGTGTGACTACGTTCCCCCATGGCATCCCAGGGGCAGAACAGCGTGAAATCGAAGGTGGTATAGGGGGCCCATGGCCTCTTAGGGTCTGGCGCTTATGGAGGCCCGTAATCTGCCAGCACCCTATGTCAAAACATTCAACACACCCGGCAGTGTCGGTGAGGGAGACCTGAACGTGGCCACAAGGCAGAGTGTGGCGCTGGAGCGATGGAGGACAGGCAGCAATGGTGAGGCCGATACAGGGGACCCAGCCAGACTTGGACTGGCAGCATGCATGAGGAGCTAGGTATATTAGGGGCCCATGGCAGATTAGGGGCCGCAGCTTATGGGAGGCCGTCTCGTAATCTGCCGCACCCTCTGTCAAAAATTCAACACACCAGCAGTGTGTGAAGAGACCTGGAAAGTGGACATGGGGGGGGCCGGGGAAGGGTTGTGGCGTGGAGACAGCCAGCAATGGGACAGGCCGTTACAGGGACCATGGACAAGACTCCAGGACTGGCAGAGAGGGAGGTCGTTCGGTCTATAGGGCACATCGGCCGATTAGCTGGGCTAGCAGATGTTGTATCTATGGGGAGGCCACGTACTCTGCCTAAGAAAGACTGCTGTCGGAAAAAATTGAACGAGGAGTTGCAGTGTTGAGGCGAGCATCTGATCGTGGCCCATGGCAGAGTGTGGCGGATGGAGCGGACAACTTCCTCAGCAGAGCGTGTTGGAGGCCGTTTGACAGGATTGACCAAGAGCGAGGACGTTCGTGGTGACCTGGCAGCAAAGCAGACGTGTAGCGGGTGATGGCAGTATTAGGGGGGGTGGGCCCCTGGCCGAATTAGGAGGCCGGGGCCGTGGTGGTAGGGAGGGGGGCTGGGCGGGCAGAACCGCCGTTAATCTTGCCAGCACCCTATGTCCCAGGACACCAACTGGCGACGCTGCATATGCAGTGCCGCTAAGCTGTACCAGTGTCCCAACATGGGACACCTGGCCAGACGCTGTGGCTTGACTTTATGGCCACATAGTCAATACGGCTACAGTTTACTTCCTTGGGCGGTCTTGACCTGACGAAAAATTTGCCACACCGCGAGGCGTTAGTAGGAAACTTTGCCCCCGATACTCCTCTCACTGGCTGACTGCTCTGCTTCCTCCGGCAACACATCTCTGCGGCACCACTACTGGCCGTGTTCGGTGGTAGGCTGCAGTGGAGCTGGTGCTCTACTCCGTGGCCGTTTGGCTCCACTGACACTGCTTCCACTGACACTGCTGCGACCCTGCTGCTGTCTTCCTGGGAAAACCCACCGACTGTTTCGCTCACTGCCGAGCTGCTGCCACCCTCTTCTCCTGATGATGCGGAAGAAATTGCCTGATGACGACGAGGCTGCCAATTAGATCAACCTCCTCATCATCAAGTAGGGTCTCCGCCTCACTACTAGCCCCCTCGGGCTGCGTCTGGGTCAGGAGACAGACCTGTCTCTAGACCGGCTACCGGCCACTCTCCTCGCCACTATTCTTCGCCTGGTGCTGAAAAGGCGGATGTCTCCCCCCGTTCCTGAGCCGCCCTCTGTTAGCTCTTCCTCACTGTACAGTGGGCTGAGCCCACAGCATGCGGATACTTACGCTTGGTGAGGGAACACCAAAGGACAGGGGCAGGTAGAGGACACGTGATTTCAGTGGGCTTGGTCCCGGGCCATGCCAACTAACGGTTGTGTCTGACGTACCCACTCGACCGTTGGCTGTAGGTGTCAGAGGTGACCTGGGAAGAGGGAAGACGACCGAGCCAACCAATCGATGACGGCAGGAGTTGTCGGGTGGAGACACGATCCGCTGGATGACACCGGGAGCCACTGGCCTTCTGGCTGCGAATAGTGCTGCCTCGACCCCCTTCCTCTGCTGCCACGTCTGCTCGCTCCTAAAACATTGCCTCCTCTCTGCCACTCCTCTGCATGTTGTCTGACATACTCTTTAATTAAACGATTCTGTGTCCCTGAGTAACAATTCTGTGTCCCTGTGCTCTGTAGTAACAATTCTGTGTCCCTGTGCTGAGTAACAATTCTGTGGCCTAAGTAACAGTTCTGTTCTGTGTCCCTCAGTAACAATTCTGTGTCCCTGATTAACGTTTCTGTTGTCATGCCCCTGAGTAACAGTTCTGTGGGCCCTCAGTAACAATTCTGTGTCCCTGATTAACGTTTCTGTGGCCCCAAGTAACAGTTCTGTGGCCTCAGTAACAATTCTGTGTCTGTGCCTGAGTAACAATTCTGTGTCTGTGCGAGAGTAACAATTCTGTGGCCCTAAGTAACAGTTCTGTGGCCCTCAGTAACAGTTCTGTGTCCCTGAGTAACAATTCTGTGTCTGTGTTCGATCAGTAACAATTCTGTGTCTGTGCGAGTTAGTAACAATTCTGTGTCTGTGCTGAAGTAACAATTCTGTGGCCCTAAGTAACAGTTCTGTGGCCCTCAGTAAACAATTCTGTGTCCCTGAGTAACAATTCTGTGTCTGTGCCCGAGTAACAATTCTGTGGCCCTCAGTAACAGTTCTGTGGCCCTCAGTAACAATTCTGTGTCCCTGAGTAACAATTCTGTGGCCCTAAGTAACAATTCTGTGGCCCTCAGTAACAGTTCTGTGTCTGTGCAGTAACAATTCTGGTGTCTGATAACAATTCTGTGGCCCTAAGTAACAGTTCTGTGGCCCTCAGTAACAATTCTGTGTCCCTGAGTAACAATTCTGTGTCTGTGCGAGTAACAATTCTGTGGCCCTAAGTAACAGTTCTGTGGCCCTCAGTAACAGTTCTGTGTCCCTGATTAACGTTTCTGTGTAACTGTGGCCCTCAAGTAACAATTCTGTGTCTGTGCGAGTAACAATTCTGTGTCCCTGCGAGTAACAATTCTGTGGCCCTAAGTAACAGTTCTGTGGCCCTCAGTAACAATTCTGTGTCCCTGATTAACGTTTCTGTGGCCCCAAGTAACAGTTCTGTGGCCCTCAGTAACACAATTCTGTGTCTGTGCGAGTAAGAATTCTGTGTCTGTGCGAGTAACAATTCTGTGGCCCTAAGTAACAGTTCTGTGGCCCTCAGTAAGAGTTCTGTGTCCCTGATTAACGTTTCTGTGGCCCCAAGTAACAGTTCTGTGGCCCTCAGTAACAATTCTGTGTCTGTGCGAGTAACAATTCTGTGTCTGTGCGAGTAACAATTCTGTGGCCCTAAGTAACAGTTCTGTGGCCCTCAGTAACAGTTCTGTGTCCCTGAGTAACAATTCTGTGTCTGTGCGAGTAAGAATTCTGTGTCTGTGCGAGTAACAATTCTGTGGCCCTAAGTAACAGTTCTGTGGCCCTCAGTAACAGTTCTGTGTCCCTGAGTAACAATTCTGTGTCTGTGCGAGTAACAATTCTGTGTCTGTGCGAGTAACAATTCTGTGTCTGTGCGAGTAACAATTCTGTGGCCCTAAGTAACGGTTCTGTGGCCCTCAGTAACAGTTCTGTGTCCCTGTGTAACAATTCTGTGTCTGTGCGAGTAACAATTCTGTGGCCCTAAGTAACAGTTCTGTGGCCCTCAGTAACAATTCTGTGTCCCTGATTAACGTTTCTGTGGCCCCAAGTAACAGTTCTGTGGCCCTCAGTAACAATTCTGTGTCTGTGCGAGTAACAATTCTGTGTCTGTGCGAGTAACAATTCTGTGGCCCTAAGTAACGGTTCTGTGGCCCTCAGTAACAGTTCTGTGTCCCTGTGTAACAATTCTGTGTCTGTGCGAGTAACAATTCTGTGTCTGTGCGAGTAGTAACAATTCTGTGGCCCTAAGTAACAGTTCTGTGGCCCTCAGTAACAATTCTGTGTCTGTCCCTGAGTAACAATTCTGTGGCCCTAACTAAAGTTTCTGTGGCCCTAAGTAACAATTCTCTGGCACTCAGTAACAATTCTGTCTGTCCCTGAGTAACAATTCTGTGGCCCTAATAACGTTTCTGTGGCCCTAAGTAACAATTATCTGGCACTCAGTAACAATTCTGTCTGTCCCTGAGTAACAATTCTGTGGCCCTAATAACGTTTCTGTGGCCCTAAGTAACAATTCTCTGGCACTCAGTAACAATTCTGTCTGTCCCTGAGTAACAATTCTGTGGCCCTAATAACGTTTCTGTGGCCCTAAGTAACAATTCTCTGGCACTCAGTAACAATTCTGTCTGTCCCTGAGTATGAATTCTGTGGCCCTAACTAGCGTTTCTTTGTCCCTAAGTAACGATTCTGTGGCCCTAATTAACAATTCTGTGTCCCTGAGTAATAGTTCTCTGTCCCTAAGTATCGTTTCTCTGTCCCCAAGTATCGTTTCTGTGGCCCTAACTCTGTCCCTGTCCCTAATACAGAGCGGTCTGCCTCTGTTCAATGACTGCAGGCAAATGAAGAATTCCAAAATGGCCGCTATTTATAGCTCGACCATTACACAGTGCTAGCTGGCTGGCTGCTGATTGGCTGATGCGATCACATGTCGTTGAGGAATGCATTATGGGTCAGCGCGCCTTGTCTGCGCACCTTCCCAGACATCCCCGCTCCGTCGCCGCACATGTCAGCCGCCATTTTCGGAAAAATTGAAATTTTTCCGATATTCGACTCGAATTCCACTTCGGCTACTTCGATTCACTCATCTCTAATTACCTCTGTTGTGCATGCTTTTTTCACATTTTTTATTTTCTACCTGGCTCACTTTTGTTTTATTTTCTTTGCCCTGTTATTATTTTTCTTCACATTTTTCTTCATATTTTTCTTCCTGTCTATACTACATGTCTCTAATGTAGCAAACATTAGAACATATATACAGTGCTTTGAAAAAGTATTCATCCCCCTTGACGTTTTCCACATTTTGTCATGTTACAATCAAAAACGTAAATGTATTTTATTGGGATTTTATGTGATAGACCAACACAAAGTGGCACATAATTGTGAAGTGGAAGGAAAATGATAAATGGTTTTTGAATTTTTTTACAAGTAAATATGTGAAAAGTGTGGTGTGCATTTGTATGTGCATTTGTCAAACAAAAAATGGGAAGACTAAATATAGATTTACTTGGAATCAGTGAATTGCATTGGAAAGATGATGGCTATTTCCAGTCAGATAACTTTTCAGTGTATTATTCGGGTAATCAAGAAATTAGAAGAAATGGCATAGCTTTCATAGTGATCGCATAATGGCCATTCGTTTATGTGGGAAACCATTAAATATCACAGTTTTACAAATATATGCGCCAACAACAGATGCTCAAGACGATGAAATTAAGCTTTTTTACGCCAAACTCGATTCAACCTTAAAACAGGTACTAAAAAAGGATATTAGTTACGTAATGCAAAAGTTGGCAGCCAGAAGGAGATGAATATTGTTGGAAGGCTTGGACTGGGCGAAAGAAATGAAGCTGGCAACCGTTTGATCCAATTCTGTAGTGAAAACTGTTTTTGGATCGCAAATACTGCATTCATGCAGCCTAAATGTCGACTGTATACATGGACATCACCAAATGGACAACATCGCAATCAGATTGACTATATACTCTGCAACCAACGTTGGAAAGTTTCAATCCAAGCCATAAAAAACATTCCCCGGCGCTGATTGTGGTTCTGACCATGAACTACTTGTAGCAACCATGAAAGTGAAATTCTGTAACATCAAAAGAAAGGCCGCACCTAAACGATTTGACTTCTCAAAAATTCCAGTTACATATGCTGTTGAAATTAAGAACAGTTTCAAGCTCCTCAGCGTGATGCAAAAGGAGCCAAACGAATTGTGGCATGATATAAAATCAACAATCAAATTGCACTTAAGCATATACCTTATAAAAAAAAAAAAAGGAAAAAGGAGTGACTGGCTATCGGAAAAAACAATTAAAATTGCTGATGACAGAAGAAGAGCCAAGGTAATTGGGGACCATGTTGAGGTAAGAAGGTTGAATGCAGAATTTCAAAGAGCAGCAAGGAAGGACAAAGAAGAGTACTGGGATCAACAGTGCAGAAAATTAGAAGAAGATGGTAAAAAAAGCCATACCAGAAATCTTTTTGCACAGGTAAAGAAAGCTCGAATTCCGTTTTCTGCTCGCAAAGGAGCAATAAAAGACAAGCATGGGAAAATCCTGATTGGTCAGCAAGGCATCAAACACAGATGGAAAAAATATGCAGAAGAGCTGTTAGCATCCTATGATAACATGGAACCAGTACTTGGGGGCCCAGTAGAGTTAGAGCCAGCTATACTTAATGAGGAAGTAGTATGGGTACTGAAGAAGCTACCAAACAACAAAGCTCCTGGAATTGACTATATTCCAGCTGAATTGCTAAGACCCATCCCATCAATAGTGATAAAAGAAATCTAGCCAAAAGAGTGGAAAAGATCAGTTTTTATTCCTCTACCAAAGAAAGGCGATTCAAGAGACTGCAACAATTACCGCACAATTGCATTGATTCCTCACATAAGCAAAATCTTGCTAAAACTTATTCAACAGCTCCTAAGACCAGTTATTGAAAGAGAATTGCCTGACTCACAAACTGGTTTCCAAAGGGGTCAAGGTACACGTGATCAGATTGCTAATCTATGTTGGATTATGGAAAAATGTAATGAATATCAAAATGCATCTACATATGTTTCATTGATTACACCAAGGCATTCAACTGTGTTGTACATGACAAGCTATGGAAAGCATTGCAAGAAATGGGAGTGCCAATGCACCTTGTACAGTTAATAAGGTCACTTTAATCGACCAAGAACCTACTGTTTGGACACAATATGGTGACACTGAGTGGTTTAAAATTGGAAAAGGTGTACGACAAGGTTGTATTCTCTCCCTTTTTCTTTTCTTTATACAAAGGTCATCATCAGGAAACTAGATCTAGAAGAATCTGAAATTGGGGTGAAGATAGGTGGTAGGAATATTAATAACCTTCGATATTCTGATGATACAACTTCACTGGCAGAAACAGAAGAGGACCTGAAACTCCTGATAGCAAAAACACAGGAGGAGAGTGCAAAAATGGGACTCTGTCTTAACATCAAAAAAACAAACATCATGACAACATCTAAAACTCGAACAACCAAAATGTACATTGATGAAGAGGAAATAGAATGTGTTCAGGATTTCTGTTTTCTAGGATCTATGATAAATCAAACAGGAGATTGCACTCCTGAAATTAAAAAACGGATTGCATTAGGTCGAAACGCCATGCTAAGTATGCAAAAATTGTGGAATAGTAAGGATATCAGCCTCATCAAATGCAAGCTGGTAAACACAATAGTTTTCCCTATAACAACGTACGGGTGTGGAAGCTGGGTTATGAAAAGAGCTGATAGAAAGAAGATTGATGCATTCGAATTATGGTGCTGGAGAAGGTTATTAAGGATACCATGGACAGCAAAGATTACCAAGAGAGGTTTTAGAGCGAGGTAAACCAGGAATAACTTTAGAAGGAAAGATAGTCAAATTACAGCTGACTTATTTTGGGCATGTGATGCGATCTGATTCCTTAGCGAAGGCAACTTTACTTGGTATGGTCAGTGGGGGGAAAAAGAGGAATGCCGAAAATACGCTGGTTGGATGCTATAGGATTGAACACTGACCTAAGCATGTATCAGCTAATAAGAAAGGTGCAAGACAGGAAAGTGTGGAGAGTGACGGCCCATGCAATCGCCAAGAGTCGGACAGGACTGAATGGATAGAGAGAGAGCATTTGTATTCAACCCCCCTGAGTCAATACTTTGTAGAACCACCTTTCACTGCAATTACAGCTTGCAGTAAGTTTTTTTGGGTATGTCTACCAGCTTTGCACATCTAGAGAGTGACACAATAGCTCAAGCTCTGTCAGATTGGATGGAGAGTGTCTGTAAACAGCAATTTTCCAGTCTTGCCACAGATTCTCAATTGGACTTTGACTGGGCCATTCTAACACATGAATATGCTTTGATCTAATCCATTCCATTATAGCTCTAGCTGTATGTTTAGGGTCGTTATCCTGCTGGAAGGTGAACCTCCGCCCCAGTCTCAAGTCTTTTGCCGACTCTAACAGGTTTTCTTCTAAGATTGCCCTGTATTTCGCTACATCCATCTTCCCATCAACTCTGACCAGCTTTCCTGTCCCTGCTGAAGAAAAGCATCCCCACAACATGACGTGGCCACCACCATTTTTCTCGGTGGGGATGGTGTGTTCAGGGAGATGTGTTAGTTTTCTGCCACACATAGCGTTTTGCTTTGAGGCCAAAAAGTTCAATTTTGGTCTCATCTGACCAGAGCACCTTCTTCCACATTTTAGCTCTGTCCCCCACATGGCTTCTCGCAAACTGCAAACGAGACTTCTTATGGCTTTCTTTCAACAATGGCTTCCTTTTTGCCACTCTTCCATAAAGGCCAGATTTGTGAACTGCACAACTAATATTTGTCCCGTGGACAAATTCTCCCACCATCTCTGCAGCTCCTCCAGAGTTACCATGAGCCTCTTGGCTCCTTCTCTGATTAATGCTCTCCTTGCCCGGTCAGTTTAGGTGGATGGCCATGTTTTGGTAGATTTGCAGTTGTGCCATACTCTTTCCTTTTTCGGATGATGGATTGAACAGTGCTCCATGAGATGTTCAAAGCTTGGGATATTTTTTTATAACCTAACCTTGCTTTAATTTTCTCCATAACTTTATCCCTGGTGTGTTCCTTGGCCTTCATGATGCTTTTTGTTCACTAATGTTCTCTAACAAACCTCTGAGAGCTTCACAGAACAGCTGTATTTATACTGAGATTAAATTACACATAGGTGGATTCTGTTTACTAATTAGGTGACTTCTGAAGGCAATTGGTTGCACTAGATTTTAGTTAGGGGTATCAGAATAAAGGGGGCTGAATACAAATGCACACCACATTTTTCAGATATTTATTTGTAAAAAAATTATGAAAACCATTTATCATTTTCCTTCCACTTCATAATTATGTGCCACTTTGTGTTGGTCTACCACAGTTAAATACATTTACATTTTTGGTAGTAACATGGCAAAATGTGGAAAATTTAAAAGGTTACGAATACTTTTTCAAAGCTCTATATATATGCAATTAATTTCACTTTCCAACATATACTGAGGCAACTTCCTCTTTTAGTTGGCAGCACTATGATGTATGTATACACCCATATTTTTGTTTCTTATTATTCTTCTTTTCACATGATTGTTGGTCGTTTCCTGGTATTTTGCACCCTCTCATTACATCCATGTACTTTTTTATGGTACTGCTCCTTGGGTTTTTCCCATTGGGTGCCTTAATTCCCTTCCACTACTCCCAGGTCAGACTTGGTCACCATTTTGAGAGATTATTTTAGAAAAAGCTTCAAAATAAATTATAACAGTGTGATGCATATTTTTTTACTGATGTATGTAATTAGCTGAATTGATCTTTTAAACAATTCATATATGTATGTGTCTATTTTATACTCTATGAATTGATCCTTTATCCTTGTTTTGAGAGACCTTCCGTGGAGCCAGGAGGGCTGGTAGCGCTTACAGGCTGTGGTGCTGGCAGCAGCTCTACAGGGGGAGAGAAGACATCGTTTCATGAAGCTACGTGAAGTTAAACTGATTTTTGAGGGGCTGCTAGTTCCTTGCCCATAAAGGGCAGCTGCTACTGATCCTCAACGACTAACAGCTTTCAGGAAAATAACAGTCTAGGATCTGCTTTGTACTTAGGAAGAAAGTGTCCCCTTTCCAATGATTCAAGACAAACTGGGCATCCCATAATCCCTATTGCCCTATCCAAGTTGATTTCCCCTAATAAAACAGCAAAACCAAGTCCATGGACTGGTCGTTGTCTTTGGATGAAAGGCTATGTGAGAAATACCTGTTGCCTGGCTGTGTGGAGAGAGGCTTAAGATTACCCACTACCCAGTGGCTCTCACGAGGGTAGCACTACACTTATGATTCATACATCATGCCTCATTTAAAGTCCCATGGGGAAATGTTTTAGTGTTTTTTATATATGTCAGGTATTGGGATGTAGGCATGGCACCATAGGTATCATGCCTCTTTTAAAATCCCATGGGGAAAGGTTTTTGTTTTTGGTGTATAGAGAACCCCAGAATAGTGATTTCCTCCTTGTAAGATTGGCTCTCTGATTTTTAGAAGTCTGCACAAAGTACAAGCCCCCGCTGCAATAGGAATTTTAGTTTTGGTAAGCTAGTCTACAAGGGTAAATATTCCTAATGGAATGCCGACACTGCAGTTTTTCTTTTTCTAGCCCCCTGAGCCTTGGTTCATGCCTTTTCCAGTTCTAATTAGACTTTGCTACCTTCCTCTTCCTGATCTCTCTGAACTTGCTTTCTCCTACTTCTGACCAGTTGGACTCCCTGGATCTGTCCACATGAGAGTACTGACCTTATCTCTGCTTCTTAAAATGGTTTTTACACTTTTCTGGTTACTTCTGGCAACGTACAAAATTCTAATAAAAGAATGCAGGTGTGTAAAATTTTTTAGTGAATTAATATTGTAGGGTAGAGGCAACAATGTTCCTGGTATGGTATAGTTTTACTTTCTACCCACAAGATGGTGCCAGAGTTAACTGAATAGATAGGTGCTGGACCATTTGGATTAGGAGGCAGTGCAGATGCCTCATTAGCTACTAGAGGCCCCCCCATAGGTAGGATTCCAGTGATAGACAGGAGGCAACTAGAGGTAATACCAGCCCTGCCAGCAATGGGGCAGCTCGGGTAGGATTCTAGCATATAGTTTTGGTGGGGAGCCACCAGGGTTCACTCTTGCTCATGGGAAGCAGTGTCAACACCAAAGATGTAACCTTTGATGGCCCATATTCTGCAGTTTTCCTTGGGGGAGCAGAAGCAAGTAAGGAAAGGTGCAGGATTATGGGAATACTCAAATACTTACATCTCTTGGGTATCAGATGTAGGACTCTAACTAATTCCTAAAGATATAGGCTGCTCGTCGACTCAGCTCTCATCTCACTCTCCTCATTTATCAAAAATTCTGCCCACAACTGAAGTATTATGCCGTCACCTGGGAACAGGATAACTGAAACGTGTGTATATAGCGTTCACTGTTTATTCAATAAAGCATTGAAAAGGGCTCTCTGATTCTGGACTGCTTCTGGACTCTTCCTTCTCCTAACCTATTGGAAACATCTCCTGGGAATGAAACTTGTATCAGTGTTGGATGCTCTGAGACTGGTTGTTGTAAGGCCTGTAGTGGTTATGTGGATGCAAAGCTGGAGAATACTGCTGAGATCAGGCCAGATGTCTCTGAAGGGGTGAGCGCACACTAAGGGGGAGCAATAGAAGCTGTCATAGTCCCCAGTTAACCCTAGGTGCCGAGGAACAACAGTATCTCAGTGTGCATCCCTGTCCAGGCATAAATGGATTAAGATTACACATGCTAACCATGCAGCCCAGCAGGAACTATGAGCTTCAAAAAGACAGTATAGCAGAAGTGGTTGGCTTTTACATTTTAACTTCAGCTATTGGGCTTAGTAAACTATAAATAGTAGTGGGGGTTTTTAGGGGTCAGTAAATTGTTGCCACAGCGTAATACTTTGTATAATCATCAAATATCATTTTTATTAAGCATACAAGTATAAAATGATTGATTCATTGATTGATTGAGTCTACAAATCCTGCAGAATGGAGTAAGTTCATTTTCACTATTGAGCTTAAGAAACAACATTCTTTTTTTAATCAAAGCAGCTATGAACAAACAGGTAGACATGTTTAAACATATGCAATATTTCTTATATGTCAAACTGAAAACAATGAAATGAAAAAAAACTTTTTCATTCCTAAAAAGAATCAAATATATACAAAACTCTTTACCTTCTCTGTAACAGAGGAACGATGCTTACACATCTTTACAAATCTGAAATCTTCTGTAAAGGGTAGAAATATATTTCATGATCTGATTTATGGAATTTATATTCCATTGTGAAAAAAATAAAATTTTAACAATTATTACCTTTGCCTTTTCTCAAGCATTGCTATACCTATTGATGATGTATTTCTTATTGTGGAGCTCCAGTCAAAATGTAAAAAGAAATAAAACTCAGCAGCTACAAAAACTGTAGCTGCTGACTTTTAAAAAGCAGAGACTTACCTGTTCCTCGATCCAGCGGTGTCCTCCACGCAGCTAGTTTCACCGGCCTTCCTCTCTCCCCAGCGCCGGCATCTTAAGTGTAGGCACCCAGGTGTGACAACTTGCAGCTTTACAGCCTGGTGCACACTTCACATGTGCGAACAGCGCTGCGCCTTGTGAATGGTCCCGTAGTCTTCTGGGACCTGTCATATGTCCCAGAAGACTGCAGGGAGGGGGAAGGACAACATCTGCTTCTGATTGCCTAGGCAATCTCAGCGGAAGTGGGAGCAGATATCTGTTAAAATCGGGTACCCGCTCCCCAAAGGTGCTTTAATGATGGCCATGAAATGCTGTAGTTATCATTAAATAACTTCTTGTATCCAATCAAGCAAGAAGCCTCGATTCATAGATTCATTAATAGCCATCGTTAAACCTTTCAAGGGTGATATGCTATGTACTTTACCTGATGCTGGTCATGAGCAGTGTTGCCAACCTCCCCCGCAGCATTTTTTACTGACAAAACATCTGACAACTGCCAGAGCACTTTTTTTTACTGACAAACTGAAAAATGACATTAAAAACTAAGAAAATTAATATTTATCCCCTTAACGCTAGCGCCTCCCAGCCCTTTACATGGTTTTTGATGCTGGGAGGTGGGGCGGGGTTTCTGATCAAGTAGAGATCAGGAGCTTCCTGTTAGCCACCAGTGACTGTGCTGGGAGCGAGCAGGAAGCGTACTCTGAGGCCAGTTCTGTTTACATTCTGGTACACATGTATGTGGCCTCTCAGTGTTAAGGCCCACCCGCCAACAGGTGTCACTATCACCAGTAGATGTCACTAATACCACAGGTCATAGTATGGGAGTGCACTAGGGTTGCCATCTCATCCCTAGGTTTCTGGGCCTAAGTACAAAGCTCTCTCCAGCATCACCTCCTCAGGCCTGAGCCTGAGGCAAGAGAGTGAGCACATGGCCTGCCCCAAATATATATATCCTCCCCCCCCATAATGCACCAGTGGCCATAGAACCAGCTGTCTGGAAGAAATATATAAATATTCATAACTCAGTTTATGTGTGCACTCTAGGGTTGCCACCTCATTCCTTTAAACCTGAACACATATTAATGACACAGGTTCTGGGGCTGATTAAGGTGGCAATTAAACTCACTTGGTGCCTTATCTGCATTAAATTAGCCTCAGAACCTGTGTCATTAATATACTTTCAGGTTTAAAGGGATGAGGTGGCAACCCTAGAGAGCACACATAAACTGAGTTATGAATATTTATATATTTCTTCCAGACAGCTGGTTCTATGGCCACTGGTGCATTATGGGGGAGGATATATATATTTGGGGCATGCCATGTGCTCACTCTCTTGCCCCAGGCTAAGGCCTGAGGAGGTGATGCTGGAGAGAGCTTTGTACTTAGGCCCAGAAACCTATCTGGGGCCTATCTGCTTTAAAGTGGTCCTGAGGCTTGAGGAAACCAAGCCAAGGTGAGAAGATCCAGGGGAGGCCCCTTGCTGTGAGAAAGCCAGAATGAAGGCTGGTCTCTCAGAAGAGCATGGTGACTTGCTTGGCAGATGCACAAGACTCTGAAAACATGCATGCAGTGTTGCCAGCAGGGGCGGACTGACCATTTGTAAACTCGGGCACTGCTCGAGGGCCCGGGGTCAGTAGGGGGCCCCATGAGATGTCCCTGATACCTTTTTCATAGGCTTTTTTGAGTTTGGGCAAGGACACAGGGGCCCCATGATCCTCTATTGCCTGGGGGCCCCATGAGTTGTCAGTCCGTCCCTGGTTGCCAGGTCAATTTAAAGGTTCTGACACTGTGAAGCTGGAATTTGTTCTGGAATCCAAGGAGTCTGTAAGTGATCTGCGTTGCATCTGAAACCCCTAACCCCCTCCTTCCACTTTCTTTTAAGTTCAACAATAAAGCTTTGAAAAAGACCTAAAATTACCGACACCCAATTTCTGTTGTAATCTCCCCTTTCTAGCCCTGGGGTAAATGCTACCTCCCTCCCTGCCCTTTGGAGGTACTATCCTGTCTTCAAGGGAGTCATGGAGGCGCTACACTTCTACAAGGGGAACTCCAAGGTAGAGATTTCCCCTCACTTTCTGCTGTGTCTCCGCAACAGGAGACAAACAGCAAAAAATAAACTGACTGGGATTTTAACCATTCTCCATTCTATCCAAAACAAAAAAGTTTGACATACATGGGGCAAATTTATAAAGCAGTGAGTGGCTTTCACCACACATTCACATTACATGGTGAATCAATCACTGCAATTTAAAACACCTAGACCCGGAAGATTCTCCTTTAGTGAATGTTAGTTTCACTGGAGGGGATTTACTAAAACTACTGCACTCAGAATCTGGTGCAGCTTCTATCCGCAGCTTGTTCAATTAAGCTTTGGCAATAAACCTGAAAGCTGAATGGTTTCTATGCAGAGTTGCACCAGATTTTGCACTTGCTGGTTTTAGTAAATAACCCCCACAGTTTTAAATATGCCCCTTTAATGCCAAATGCAATCCAGAAAGTCTAGACACTGAACCCCCAGAGGTATTTTAGCGCTGAATTTTCAGATTAACATTTAATGTCAAATAATTATAAACACTTTGTTATTGTGTAACTGATCAATATTAGATTTAATGTTAGTATTAATTTGACAAATTATGAGTTTATTTTACAGTTAAGTAAGTTTTGATTATAGCAAAATTGATGGGTTGCTATATGATCCTTCTCAATTCCTTATCAGTTCTTGTTTGTTTTATAAATATTTTCCTTATTACATATTCAAGTCCCTGAGCCCACATGCGTTCTGTGCCAGATGGCAGTGTGCCCTCAAGGCACCATTCATGGCTTAGTGATTGGTTGCCATGCTTCAGACAGCGGCATTGCACATTGCAGATGCTTTATCTGAACCTCATTTAAAGATAAAGGACCACGCTAATATTTTACAAGCAATATTCAGATTTTGGGATTTAGTTTGTGATGTTAGTGCTGCTCATAAATCATTTTCAACATGATACCGTACTAGATTCTAACAGTTCAGTCTCAATCAAAAGCATTTTTATCATGCTATGTACATTTTTTTTTAATTCTAAGTTACAGAACAGTTCAACAATCTCGAAAACAGATTTCAGCAGGTGTGTAGGTGCTTGGTGGTGGGCAGGGATGAGGTTTGGGTATACCATAGGCTCTAGAGGGTCTGAGTCCTAGCGAATTTGTATGGAGATTTTTTTTACTCCATAATGGACTGCATGGTCCTTGAACTATGGCCAGCAGGCTTAGAAAGGCCAATAACTGCTTCCTGTCCACCATTGCCTATAGATGGCAAATGGGAATCAGCGCTGATGCGGGCTAACGTACCTGTACGCCAGAGGCTATGCTTCAAGTGATGCTGCAGCCTGTGAGTGTATATTAGCCTATCGGAATGCTTGTACACTCACAGACTGCAGTGCCAGCAAGCCCCAGTGTCCCTGATCAATGCTCGTTGTAGTCCCTAATAAAACATGCAGCCAACACCTGTCACCTGTCCCAGTGATCAGCAAAACACAGACATATACCATACCAATGTCCTGATCACCTCCATACCAACGTCCTAATCACTGCCATACCCCATACCAGTGCCCTGATCACCACCATATGCCTTACAGGCATCATGATCATTGCCATATGCCATACCAGCACCTTGATCTCCACCATACCCCATGCCAGCATCCTGATTACCGCCATACCAGCATTCTGATCACCCTATATTCCATACCAGTATCCTGATCACTGCCATACACCATACCAGAGACCTGATATCCGCCATACCAGCATTCTAATCACCCCATATGTCATACCAGTGCCCGGATCACTGGCATATAACATACCAATGTCTTTATCATGGCCAAACCCCATGTCATACCAGCATCCTGATCACTTCCATAGCCCATACCAGTGTTCTGATAACCCCATATGTCATACCAGCATCCTGATCACCATAATAGCCCATACTAGCACTTGCATCTTGATCACTCCATATGCCATACCAGCATCCTGGTCCCCGCCATACCCCATACTAGCGCCCTGATCACAATCATACCCCATAACAGCATTCTAATTACCCCATATGTCATACCAGTATACCCTGATCACTGCCATACACCATACCAGAGACCTGATATCTGCCATACCCCATACCAGCATTCTAATCACCCCATATGTCATACCAGTGCCCGGATCACTGGCATATAACATACCAATGTCTTTATCACGGCCAAACCCCATGTCATACCAGCATCCTGATCACTGCCATAGCCCATACCAGTGTTCTGATAACCCCATATGTCATACCAGCATCCTGATCACCATAATAGCCCATACTAGCATCTTGATCACCCCATATGCCATACCAGCATCCTGGTCCCCGCCATACCCCATACTAGCGCCCTGATCACAATCATACCCCATAACAGCATTCTAATCACCCCATATGTCATACCAGTGTCCGGATCACTGCCGTACACCATACCAATGTCCTGATCACTGCCTTACCCCATACCAGCATCCTGATCAATGCTATACCCCATTCCAGCATCCTCATTACCGCCATACCAGCGTCCTCATTACCACCATACCTCATATCAACGTCCTGATCACCTCCATCCCTCACCAATGTCCTGATCACCGCCATACCCCATACCAGCGTTCTGATCACCTCATATGCCATACCAGCGACCTGATCACCGCCATACTAGTGTCCTCATCACCACCATACCTCATACCAATGTCCTGATCACTGCCATACATCATACCAGTGTTCGGCATTTCTCAACTAATCAATTTTCAGATATATGTCCCATAGCTTGCAGACTCTATAACTTTCACACAGACTAAATATTATACACTGTTTTGGGTTACTTTACCTATAAATGTAGCAGAACACATTTTGTTCTAAATTTATGAAGAAAGATGATTTATTTGCAAATTTTTATAACAAAAACTAAGCAAACAATTTTGTTTTTTTTTTTTTCAAAGTTTTCTGTATTTTTTCATTTTTAAATAGCAAAAAATAAAAAACCCAGTGGTGATCAAATACCACCAAAAGAAAGCTCTATTTGCGTGAAAAATTAATACAAATTTCACTTGGGTAAAGAGTTGCATGACCACGCAAATGTCATTCAAAGTGCGACAGTGCTGAAAGCTGAAAAATGGCCTGGGCTGGAAGTACCTGGACTTGAAGTGGTTAAAGGGGGTTATGGTTCACTGCTTTCCGACCACCCTGTAGCAGATATACTGCTACAGGGCAGCACAGGTGCAAAAAATGTATATATGTGTGATTTTGCATTTCCGGGTAGGGGGCATGTGCGTTACCCGCGCCACCATTCGCGGCCATGGCTGTCAATCACCAGGTCCCGGCCAAGAACTGTTTGTAAATAAAACAGTTTTCCTCCCTGTCAGCTCGTGCACACTGCTTTGCATGGTTGTGCACAGCACAGCCATGCAAAGCAGTGTGCTCACAGTGAAGCACACGGACACAGCTTATAGTGAAACATCACACAGTTAACCCTTTGATCGCACCAGATGTTAACCCCTTCCTGCCCAGTGCCATTAGTACAGTTTCAGTGGGTTTTTTTTAGCACTGATAACTGTATTGGTGTCACTGGGGATGTCAATGACACCGAGTTAGTTTCCCCCAGTGTCAGAATGCCTGCCGCAGTCCTGCTATAAGTCGCTGATCGCCGCCATTACTAGTAAACAAAAACATTCCCAGTATATAAACCACCACTATATACTGTACCATATATGAAACGCTGTAACTTTCACGTAAACCAATTAATTTACATATATTGGGATTTTTTTAGCAAAGACATGTAGTAGAATACATTTTGGCCTAAATTTATGACGAAATTTGATTTTTAAATTTTTTTTACTGGACATGTTTAATAGCAAAAAGTCAAGAATTTTTTTGCTCTCAGAATTGTTGGTCTTTTTTTTTTTTATAGCGCAAAAAATAAAAAACCACACAGGCGATCAAATACCACCGAAAGAAAGCTCAATTTGTGGTTAAAAAAAGGACATAAATTCAATTTGGGTGCAGTGTTGCATGACCGCGCAGTTGTCAGTTAAAACAACACAAAAAATGGCTTGGTCAGGGGGGGGGGGGGGGGGGTAAATCCTCAGGAGGGCAAGTGGTTAAGCAACCTCTCACTATAAATGTGGGGAACAATGCAGCCATAGAATCAGTGAATTGGAAGCTGTTGTGGGCAAAATTATAGGAAAAAGCTGACAAACTGCATATGGAAAGGGTTAGTTAGGAACCTGTACTGTAGTACTGGTTGAAAACTCTTTGAGTGATCAATGCTCTCTTTTTGTTTTTTTTTATTGTTAAAGTGATTATAAACTCTTTCAGCACTGATACATCTAAATGATAGGGTACACCAACAGGCATTGAATCATATGTGACTTGTTTTTATTTTTTTTCTTACTAAATACCTTTTTTCATGTTGTGTGGGGCAAGTTATGTGAATTTCTCCTCCTCCTCCTCCTCCTCCTTCTTCTCCTTCTTCTTCTCCTTCTTCCTTTTAGCTTTAAAAATGTACTTATATTTCAGGAGTTGGAATTTTCATTTATTTTGGAGGTATATTATTTGTATGTTATATTGATAGGGCCTTTACTTTAGGATAAATAGTTTTGTTTTTTGCTGCAAGACTCCCCTTTAAAAAAAACTGGGCTTGTGTTTCTAGGTTGATAGTTTGGGGTTTTCATTTCTTTGTAGTTTCTATAGCTTTATTTTATGTTGGTGGGGCTTTTTTTTTTAAAGTGTGCGGTGCTCAAAGCAGGGCATTCACTTGTTACTCACCATCTGTTCTCAGAACCACCTTTTTGCATTACTGCTGCATTGTTTGCAAAAGAAAGAAACTATGTGAAAGAACAGTGTGCACCTAAACCACCTCATAACCTATCACTTATATTCATTGCACCCTTCTATCCCTGTAGATAAAAATAAACTTTAGACATACACCAGTTAGGCCTAATATCCCTTACTAAAACTGTCCTGCTACTGGCTAATTTATAGTGCCATGTCTAATGCAGCATCTAAAAGTGATATTAAAGTCATTTTTTGCTCACAGAGCTGATAGTAGCAGAACTTGCTATTTTTTGGTAATTTCTATCCTCTGGGCCTCATTTTCAGACTTGAATTAGTATTGCGGGTCTATTAACCACTTGCCCTCCAGAGGATTTACCCCCCTTCCTGGCCAGGCCATTTTTGCGATATGACGTTGTTTTGCTTTTTCCCACAAATAGAGCTTTCTTTTGGTGGTATTTGATCACCTGTGTGTTTTTTGCAATATAAACAAAAAAAGACCAAAAATTTTGAAAACAGTGTATGGTATTCTTAAAACCTTTTTTTGTTCTGCATTGATATTTGTCCCCCATGACAGTGCCCAGCCTGTCAGGCATTTCTGCACATCATTTTGCCTATTATCCCTACAACTGGCTAGAATTAAACAAGATTTGCCCCAAATAGATTTCAATAGGATTAGTCTCTTAGTTTGGGTTTGCTGAATTTTAAACAAGATTTACTGAACCCTTGCCAAATCAAAACTGGGCAGATCTACCCATCACTAGAGGTTTGACAAAATAATTTGTATAAATTTAATAAATCCTTACCACTCTTAGCTCACTGTACACACTGGCCCGAAGAGCATTATCACCTATTCTATCTATAGGGTTACTCCAATTCATAGGTACCAGCTGTCACAGATCTCCTTTGTTCCTGGTTTTTCAATAATGACCAACTACTCTATGAAATCTATTCACTTTTTATATAATATATATTTATCTTAAAATGTTCACTGTTTTTGATATTTTCTGAACAACATGTTGAATAAAAAAAACAGGGAAGACAGTATTGTGAATTAGTGGATTTGGGGGCACCCACTTAGTATCAAAGAGTTCTGAAAACATTTATTTAAAGTATAGGTGCACTTTTAAAGAATTACCTAACTCCCCTCCTCTTCAGAATGCACACCTACCTCAATCTGATGGCCATAGGGTCCACTGTTTGTTTACATTCAGTACATTCAAGTTTTTAGTGATGTCTATAGGGCCTCTGACCTCAGAAAATCCTCCAGTAGAAGCCTATGGGGTTGTAATGCACAGGCATGGCATGGACATCAAAAACTTAAAGAAATGCATGGAAACAAACATCGGAGACACCAGCCTCAGTGTGGAGGCAAGCATGCATCTGTGCAACAGGAAGGTGGGTTAGGTTAGATCATTTTAATGGAGCTAAAATGAAAAAGTACACATTGCTTTAAAGTGCACTTATCTGGTATTATAGTATATTTAAAATACCTATTGTACATTCCTCTACCACTTCAAAAATAGGATTTATCTTTACAGAATATCTAAAGCAAAACATTTTTTGCAGTGAAAAGAGAAGACTTAAAAAAATTTTTATGTTACTGGTTTGTTGTTCTTACTGGGGTGACTGGGGTGACTATTGTCACTGGTAGGGATGAGATTCAATTTCAGAAATAGATGGACTTCGACCAAAACGTTTCACATCTGCTATTCAGGAAAATGGCAAACTATTGAGTATGACCACCACTGCACCAAAATCCAATTTCCATAAGGCATTTCATGAACTTTGAATTGTGGTCAGATGGCATAGTATGGCCAACAATGGAAGTTTGTATATGTGTCAACCCCTCCCTATAAACATCAGCTCTCTCATCAGCCTTTTGTCAGTGTCTGTTGAAGTTGGATGAGATAGGGACGGCTGAAAGTCACCATTGGAGTGAGTAGAAACATGAAAGGAAAGACAGTTACTGCTGTACAGTGTTACAAACAGAGCTATACAGTACTACAGTAAATACAGCAAACATGGGCAGGAACAATACACCTCTTTAATGGCGCACTTGGTACTTTTGCTGACCTGCAACATGGTCATTGTGACAGCTCAATCACCTCCACCCCCTGGCCTAATCTAATGATTTCTCAGAACCGCCAGTCCCACAAGCTATTATTATTATTATAGAGGATGTATATAGCACCAACAGTTTGCGCAGCGCTTTACAATATAAGGGAGACAGTACAATTACAATACATTTCAGTACAGAAGGCATAGGAGGGCCCTGCTTGTGGAGCTTACAATCTAAAGGAAGGGGGAGGTGATACAAACGGTGATAACTGCGGGAGATGATCTGGCAGAGGTGATTCAAGTACAGTTCTTAGGTGGAGGTGGGGTAGGCTTCCCTGAAGAAGTGAGTTTTCAAGGATCGCCTAAAGGCAGACAGGGTGGGGGCTGACCGGACATGCTGTGGTAGAGAGTTCCAGAGGATGGGAGAGGCTCTGGAGAAGACCTGGAGGTGAGCGAGAGAGGAGGTGATGAGGGAGCTAGAGAGGAGGATATCATGGGAGGAGTGGACCAAAAGTCTACGCAACTACCCAGGCAAAGTGCTGTGCTGTTTTGCAGCAGGTATGCCTGAAGAATAGGAGCCCTGAGTGCAGCAGTATGAAAATGTATTTATTCACACGACAACTGGCAACTTACAAGACAATGTAGTGATATCAGGCATATACAGTGAGGAACAGAAGTATTTGAACACCCTGTGATTTTGCAAGTTCTCCCACTTAGAAATCATGGAGGGGTCTGAAATTCACATTGTAGGTGCATTCCCACTCTGAGAGACAGAATTTAAAAAAAAATTCAGGAAATCACATTGTATGTTTTTTAAAGAATGTATTTGTCTTGAACTGCTGAACATAAGTATTTGAACACCTGAGAAAATCCGTGTTAATATTTGGTACAGAAGCCTTTGTTTGCAATTACAGAGGTCAAACGTTTCCTGTAGTTCTTGACCAGGTTTGCACACACTGCAACAGGGATTTTGGCCCACTCCTCCACACAGATCTCCTCTAGATCTGTCAGGTTTCGGGGCTGTCACTGAATAACACGGAGTTTCAGCTCCCTCCAAAGATATTCTGTTGGATTTAGGTCTGGAGACTGGCTAGGCCACTCCAGAACCTTGATATGCTTGTTACGGAATCACTCCTTGGTTATCCTGGCTGTGTGCTTCGGGTCGTTGTCACGTTTGAAGACCCAGCCACGACCCATCTTCAATGCTCTGACTGAGGGAAGGAGGTTGTTGCTCACAATCTCACAACAAATGGCCCCATTCATCCTCTCCTTAATACGGTGCAGTCGTCCTGTCCCCTTCGCAGAAAAGCACCCCCAAAGCATGATGTTACCACCCCCATGCTTCACAGTAGGGATGGTGTTCTTGGGATGCAACTCATCCTTCTTTTTCCTCCAAACACGACGAGTGAAGTTTAGACCAAAAAGTTCTACTTTGGTCTCATCTGACCACATGACTTTCTCCCGTGCCTCCTCTGGATCATCCAGATGGTCATTGGCAAACTTCAGACGAGCCAGGACATGTGATGACTTGAGCAGGGGAACCTTCCGTGCAATGCATGATTTGAAACCATGACGGCGTAGTGTTCTACCGACAGTGACCTTTGAAACTGTGGTCCCAGCTCTCTTCATGTCATTGACCAGCTCCTCCCTTGTAGTTCTGGGCTGATTCCTCACCTTTCTTATCATCAGTGATACCCCACAAGGTGAGATCTTGCATGGAGCCCCAGTCTGAGGGAGACTGACAGTCGTCTTTAGCCTCTTCCATTTTCTAACAATTGCTCCAACAGTTGATCTATTTTCA